AACGGACCCGATTATCGCGGGCACGATCACACCCACATGCGCTCTAGTGTTCCCTGATTTGAGCAATTTCGGGCCGCTTTGCTTTCGAATGTCAGTTTTTTTTTTTTTTTTTTAACACGTGATCACGTGCGATAGCCATTAGCAGCATATGCCCATTGAATTGGTGTACATGGTGCTTTATTTTCCTTATGTTTCTTTATGTCTTTTTTATCTGGCCACAATCAAGCGTGGACTGCAGAATCGGAGACATAGACAGACGAGTATGAGAACAATAGAATATTCGTTGTTTCACTGATAGCTTTAGGAGGACAGTACAATCTTTTCAGAGATTCATATTCATTGCAACTGTTTTACAGTGGAACGTTCTTCTGGCGCCGCATGAGCTTGAGCTTGCATGCACACTGAGGTAAGACGCTGCTGCAGGAAGCTGGCTTGTGCTGTATTCAGCTCAATTGACGGCACTCCCCGCCTTTATATAAGTTATTTGTGACAATTGACGGAAAGTGCCACAGTCTACTATCCAGTCTAATGCTCTTGTTATCTTTCTTGGTGGCTCATAAGGTGATTATTTCAAGAACATGCAATAAGTAAAAATCTGTTAATGCACACTATTGAGAAAACGGTGAATGACGGCCCGGAGCACGAGTCGAAATTGATTCGGTCTCACGAGTAATTTCGCAAAATGCGAGACTTCCACGCTATAGATCTAAATACTCTCAGTGTCCTCGGAGAGCCCAGTACACCCTAAGAAATTCAATCGCATCTACTTACCTGCAAAACACTCAAAGAGTCAATCTCTGCGATCTACGAAATCAGCTCAGCGAATCATGAGGCGTAACATCCGTTTAGACCTAAAAATGAAGTCTGCGCTGTGGCATTACGCACTGCAAAGCGTCATGCTTGCATTGCCTAATGCCAAAGCGCAGACTTCAATTTTAGGTCTAAACAGATGTTCCGCCTCATCATTCGCTGAGCTGATTTCGCAGATCGCAGAGATTGACTCTTTGTTTGTTTTGCGGGTAAGTAGACGCGCAGGCATTTCTTAGGGTGTATGAACAGGTTCTTTAATTTATTCATTGGTCGCTATGGCCTTGTGGTGATCCTCTGTTATTCGCACAGCAGGTGACAATTGGGGATGCTCATGCCTGGAAGAGCAAGAATGCAAGCGCTTGAAGGGGCCAGGGGTGCCATGAATTGATATTGGGGTGAATTTAACTAACTGCATATCGCGTAGTGTGGCACAAGAGAACTGCCACATGAGGATAGGGTTCCAGAAACATTATATTCGCAATAAAATAAAAAAAAAAACACGCTTTAAGCGGTACGGGGCTCGCCACGCTTGAGTGCATGAGGCTCACAGATAGAACACGAGCATTGCATCACCATTCTGCTTGCGCTCGATAGTAATTAATTCGTTGACGAATCCTGACCAATAAATGTGGTGGCGGGAATCGCCAAAACGCAACATTTTCCGAAGCACAGCACGTGCTCTGAGCGTTGAAGAGACTGGGGCGCGACTCTGAATACTATATTGGCGCCGCGAGCTGGCGAAAGAACATCCAACAGATATTTCTTGCCCGAGTTGAGGAGGACAACTCTGATCAATTTTCTTCCCTGTTTTATGCAAACTTGCGACGGTGGAGCTAAAAAAATAACACACTAATTTGATCTACGTTCCGAACATTGGGGATTATGTATTAGCGATATCTAATAAAAGCGGGGATAACGTCAACTGGTTGGCCCCTTTTGCTCCTGAAGCACCTTTCATAACATGACTTTGCCTGCGAGACCAGCGCTTTCTAAGTTTATTTCCTCGAGGTCATATTGTTCGCTGTACTGAATCCTAAAATAATACGGAGCGTCCTACAATTTACTGCCGCGCGCGGGAGTATCAAAGCATCCGGTCAATTACACCATTAGTCGACCTAAGGAGAAAGCCTAAAAAAATGATGCGATGTTGTAGCCATGTTATGACTCCTATGTAGCGGTGTATTAATGGTGTGGAAAGAATTCCTCTACACACCGCGCCCGCTCGCCTATATTTAAGTGAAGTAAATGCTCCCGCGCTTCTCGCCTTTAAATTCCCAACGGCCACAGGGGCAGCCGGTACGCCCACGAAAGCTGTCCCTTCATGCTTAAAGTTTTTGTTGTAGTGTCTGCTTAAAAAGCGGAATCTAGTGAAAAGTACCTAACCGAGTCTTCTTTTTTCTTTTTTTTTATATTCCGGATGTAGCGCGTTGTACGCGAATGTCATCCACGGGCGACAGCGACAACCGCAAAATTTCTGCTATGACAATACAAACACAGCGGTGTGTGTAGAGTCACAGCTTAGAAATCGGCAAGTCGTGGTGATTCCCATGCATCGCATCATCAATGAGAATGTGGCCTCAGTTGAATGCGCCAAAGAACAAATCTAGAAGCTTGAGCATAATAAACCAAGGCCTGCGTTTATTAAGCGGGCAGATACTGTATAGTTTCGCTGGCAAGTTAAGAAAAGCCGGGTGTCGTAAGTACCGAGAGTGTGGGTAAAATTCATATAAAAAGTACTTGAAGTTAACAACAAAGTAAATGAGAGGTCACGTACTTAAAGTCAAGTAGCAAGTACACCGGGCCGAACGTACTTCAAGTAAAGTAATTAAATACAATGTAGATTCAAAGTAAAGTATACAAACGCTTTTAACGCAAACTTTCATGATGCTATTTCAATTCCTTATATTTTTTTAATTGGCATACACCGCCCGAGGGGTAATCGCGGGAGCATGTTATTTTCGGGAATGGTGGCCAATATTGAACAAAGTTGCACAGTGGCCACAGGGGAGTTGTTTTACTCTCATTGACGAACTATTTAACACAACCAACTCATAAGGAATTTATTTGTATCGGTCTTATAGCCGCCATTACTTCATTTGTAGAAATGACCAGACGACGTGTACTGGCTTGCTCCCAAAGGGGTTAAAAGTACTAGGAGAGAGCATGAAGTCAGCCCCGTAGATTCCACAAGCAATCCTCTCGTGGGGGAGTGTCATCTCCAAGTATTTTTAACCTCGTTGCTTGTGCTGTCCGAATGAGAAGTATGGAGAGGTCCGACTAATGCGGGAAAGCCGCCCCCAGTACAAACGGAGCGATGCTTCATCTGCTCGCATTTCAGCGAGAGTAGGATATCCCTCCCAGTATTTCTTCAGAGTTCACAAAGCATCATTTTGTGATACAAATTTAACGAGACCAAATTTGGGGAATGTGCCTTGAGGTTGGGAGTTGTACTTCCCTCGGAAATCACCAGAGAAAAAAAAATCTTTAAGTAAAGTACAAGTGAAGTACTCAGAGAATGTACTTCAAGTAAAGCAGGAGTTTTTAAAACCTCCTTGAAGTAGTACCGAGCGTCCGCGGAAAAACCGAGCCCTGTTTTTCGCACCGCCATAATAAATTAGACATCGCGAAGAGCTCGAACTCCGTCAGAACGTAGCCCCAGCCCTTCGAGCAAGAGGCCAAAGTTTCAGCGGCAACTGTTATCTTATTCAAAAGTTATGAGATTTTCTAAAAAATTCAATGGGAAAATGGTGGCCGATGGAGATCTCCAATACATGGAGCACTATGGCGCCAGCAAGTGAAAACGGGCAAAAATGGGCCCCATTTTCCCATAGAAAATGTCGAAAAATCACTTATAACTTTTGAATAAGAGAACGATTGGTGCTAATAAAACCTTGGCATCTTGCTCGAACAGCTGGGGCTACGTTCTGATGAAATTTAAGCTCTCCACTATGTCTAGTTTATTTTTGCGGTGCAATAAACGTAGTTTGGTTTTCTCGCGGGTACATTAGGTGCAATGTATTTAAGGTACTTCCCAACACCGAGTACCAAGCGTCTTATCAACTCTCCTTGGTCAATGAAATTGGAGCATTAGCTAATAAAGACACCAAGGAACGAATCACGGCCAGCAAGAAACAGGATTATAAAATCCACACTCAGCGCTTCTTAAGCTAGCGGTTACTATGGCAACCTCGCAGACTGTGCATTTAAATCCTCGGTAGCTACGCTGTTCCACAATATTTTGCATAATCTGGCTCCGTATTATGATGATCAGAAATCGGAAATTATGACGTCATTGAAGATAACACTCAGCCTAATCCGGAGACAGCGAGAGCAAATGTCTGGATCTCGTAGTTCGTAAAAGCGCGAGGAAAATATTCCGAACGCAAGGTCCGGCATCTTTCACCCCTCGAAGGGTGAACGAGTTCCCTTCAAGGTGGACACAATGCCAGCTAATAAGATGTTGCGCAGACTGTCGCCACACGGACGTTCTTTCCCACACCCACTCCGTCGTGAACAAACAAGATTGGGACGATACAACACATGACCCCGCGTAAGACAAGGCGGCTCGTTGTCTGCCCTAATTTCGGGCTTCTTTCGCTCTCTGTCGTCCCACCTTCGCCCGAGGCGTCCAATTGGAGTCTCCCTATACGAAAGAGTGGCTCCTCAGTCTCGTCGGGAGACGCATGAAAAACCAGGACGATCTTGAAATTCCTGTTAGCCGAGCCACCTTGACTGCTGCAACTTCCACGCTGGCGAGCGTCCTAAAAATAGTCCGGGCCCTTTCCAGGTAGCCCCGTCGTAGCGCGAGCGTTGCCTCTCTGGAAAACATCAAACCAATTGAAAGTTCTCGGAGGAAAGGAAAACATAACAGAGAGAATAGGCGTGGAACGGCAACACGTTGTCCGAAGGAGACTTCCTCCACTTTTGGAGCTGTTCTTGCAGGGCCGGTCGTCTATAACTGGCAACTCTGCATCGGCGAGGACGCAAAATAAAGGGAGAGTTGCTGAGAGAAAGGCCGAAGATGAACAGAGCGGGGAGAAAGGGTTGGACCGTTGTTTTTTTTTTCCTGGTCGAACACTGAGCCTCTTCCCGATTCCGCTTGGTGCTTACACTCTCGCCGGTCGCATGCTGAGAGAGATCCCCCAACTGTGCACGTATAAATGGCCAGCTGCGAACGGTGAGACGGTTTCTTTGCACATGAGGCTTCGCTGCCGTCGGGTCAGCGCGCTGTGTGTCCGAATGACGTCTTTGCTCAAGGTGAGGCTGTCTTTGCTGCTGCTTCGCGTTCATTGGGTATTGAGCACTTATTCACTTGTCGCGAACCAACATTGCTTCAACTCGTTAAAGAAGTGGAATACGCTTGAAGCATTGTTTGGAATGTTGCAGTGAAACGTTACGCGAACGACACCCGGCAGGAAGTAACTTCCGGAAATTGCATTGACCATCCTATTGTTTCCGGACACGTATTATCTCCGCTCCCTCCCTCTCCCCGCTTTCATTCTTTCGAAACTATTGTGTGCACTTTGAGGTTAGTGAAGTCAGAGCTTAGAAATGTTGGCAAAATATATTGTTTGTTGATTAAGCAAATATGCTGAAATTCTGAAATTGTAATTTTATTGAGACGTTAGGTATGTTAATGATATGCTCGGCCAGGGGTCTCCAAACCCCGACCCCCGGTCCAGATCTAGCCCTCGGAGGCTTTCTGACCTGCCCGCGGCTGGTCGTGGTCCTTCCGGTGTCGCCTGGCCCGCGGCCCGTTTCCAACAAGCCTGGTGCTACCAACGCAAAAATAAGCGCGGCGCGCACCAAAAGCGCACATGAAGAAAACAGAAAAGATGAAAAATCTTTGTCTATACTCCGCGGCAACTTTTCTTGGCAATGCAGTGGAAGGTACAGGCCCGCGTCCCCTCTCCCATTTTGAGTGTGCGCAGGCTCTCCTTCTCCCCCATTTCCGGGGAGAGGAGGAGAGCCCGCGCACACTTAAAATGGGAGAGGGGACGCGGGCCTGTACCTTCCACTGCATTGCCAAGAAAACTTGCCGCAGAGTATAGTTTCTTTTTTTTTTTTTTTTTTTACTTTACATTTTCATATTTATATTCTGGCCCTCGAGACAGCGACCGACCCCGGACCCGGCCCCTTAGCCAGGAAGTTTGGAGACCCCTGTGCTAGGGCATAGTCATGAAGTTCTCGCTATTTCGAATTTTAAGAGTAAACGAAACTTTTCTGAATTGCCAGAATATTGCGACCGAGAACGGGCAGGGATTTAACACTTGTGCTGGTAGACGGTCTTCAGCAGAAACTTGTACTCACTCAATCTATAGAAAGGCGATCGGTTTTCCACTGGGGCCGCAATTACTTCGTCGTCGATCATTGCTGTCGTTGTCTGCTAATGTTTTATGAAGAAAGAAGAGGGTGTGAAGAGGGCTTTTTCTAGTCTAGGTGGCGGTCCATGCCAGCTGTAGAGCTCATTAGTATCTGAAGTGGACACTACTTTATGCGTAGCGTGTTTAAATGGTCTGTTAGTGGCGAGCACCGCCGCGCTCCACAGTCAGTGCAGTGTCAGTATCTTAGGCGGCGGTTGAGGGGCACTTTTGTAAATACCCTTGTAGGTACAGTGCAAGGTCCATCTTCACAAAACTGATTTTTTACTCCCAGCATATCGTATAGACCAACACACGTCCCTGACGTCACGCAGCTGCGGTGGCGCTGTCAACGGCACTGCGCATGCGCAGACGCTTCACTCGAATTCAGTTTTTTGCGCACGTGCAGTGCCCACACCTGGTGTGGGCAAACGCGGGCTTGTTTGTAAACAGCGTGTCGGTCTATAGCATTTACTATCCGCGACAATATTAACGCTGCTCTCGGGCTCGTGAACATTTTACGACAGTAAACGATGAATACATAAGTGTTATTTTCTTCATCTTGGTCCTTGATACCTTTTTGCATGATAATAATGATGCTCATGAGGCTTTGATAGAATCCTCATGAGTTCAGTGTAATGTTTCTTAATAGGCTGCCGCGGTAGAGTTTGCTTCAGTAAAGGCCGGTAATTCACGGTACGTGTTCTATCCTTTAGTGCCAGCTCCGTAGATGGCTTGCTAAAAAATTGAAAACAGCTTATAAAGTTACCTTGACGTTGCGGCTGCATAGAAATCCAGGTGATACGATGACCCGATTAAAAACCAAGAATAAAAGGATTACTAGATTTGTTCATTTCAGACAAACCGACAGTGGTCTCGTTGGGTGAACGCCATATCAAGACCAGTTCGTTCAAAATTCGGACCTATGACGTTTCATTTTCCCCAGGTTATCACCAGGTTCAAAAGCCAGCCTCTTTAGTTATCTTTCGGTTAACACCAGTGCTCCGTTTATTTTTTTTTAGCATCTTGTTATATTTTGACCAGACTAAAATGTTTCAGACATAATTACGTTAATATAAAACAAGAAAGAATGAACAAGAAGCGAACGTTCCTTGGTCGTTCTTTCTGTTTAAAAAAAATATTTTACTAACACGCTTGGTATACGAACATACTTACTGTTCACTTTTTCTGTAGTAAATCAGTTGGCTTTAAAAGAAGGTTCTCGCGATAACAACTGCTGACGCCTTTGTTTACTAAGCCAGGACAGACACGCCGACATCTCGAATGTCAGTGAAACGCGTTTATAATAAATATAATGTCTTATATTGGAACATTAGTGCTGCCTGTTAATGAGGAGGCTGCTGGTCGTCTTTGCTCTAGAAAGTGCAGCTTTCACGATATTTGCTCTTCGCCCTATGGCATTCCGTCCTTCATAGGTGACACATAGACGGCAGCCCAGGCGAGCTACCGTAATATAGAGCAGAAAAGAGACGTCACAGTCAAGATATATTTATGTAGTTCGATGGCTAATCAAGCTGAAGACGATGTTTAGAATTAGTAGAGCTGGGAACGCGCAGAGAAAGCTTAATAGCTTGATGAATCGTCGTCGCCATGGCAACAAACACCGATTTTCCAAACGGCGTCTGCTAGCCAAAGTTTAATATTTTTGTAATGAGCAGCCGCAGACTGTCGCCACGAAGCGGCGTGAACGCAGGAAGAGGGGGGGGGGGGGGGGGAGGGGAGGGGATTAACACGCGATGCGAGGTGCCTGCTGAGGGGCTTCCCGCATGCTTTTCAATGGGCGGAACACGAAAAAAAAAAAAAAAAAGAGTTCGAAATGAGGACTTAATGCGTCGAAAAGCTGTTTATTTCTAGCGCCTCATAATTTGACAAGCCTTACACGAAAGGCATGTTTTCTGGGCCATCCCCCACACTGTTTTATTTTTTTGTCCATAACATGGGTCTACAGTATCAAACTGCCGACTACTAGACTCGTTGCTCTGTATTGTGTTCAATATTTTGAACTCTGAAAGCGATCTCTAGACGTTCATACTCGAAACTGGAAAAGCCATGATGGCTAGAGCTTTGCCAAAAAAACATTACTAGTCGAACCAGGGAAACTTCGTGCAAGCTGTTACATCGACCGCCGCACCTAGAACGCATTGCACATACTTCGCAAACTCATCGTCCAATGTGTGAAGGGTGTCATTGTCGTGCGCAACAACCAAGGCATGTTTATACGAATCGAATTTCTGGGAAAGCTCAGAAGGTGTTAGAAGGAAAGAGCTCGAAGTGTCGTTCAAGTAAACCTCGCACGGCGCCATCACAGCCGGAGTTCCATTTATCAACCGACCCGTGCCTGTCCACAAACGTCGGGGTAGTCGCGACGTGGCTCATCTGTCAAATTAGGAACTACGTTTGCGTCAAAATTACAAGCGTGCACATCACGACATCTTCCCATTCCGAAGGAATCATAGCCTGTAAGGAATCGCGGAAAGGATACACACGCCGTAAGAAAGAAGGAAAAGTAAAAAAAAAGAAACGAGCCAGCGTTATGCGTTGATATCTTGCATATATCTTGCAGCGTGCAAAACTAAGGGATGAGCGCATAGTTAAAATAGGCTTAGTGGTTTGCTCGTCGCAGATGCGTCCTGGCATCGTGGAAGCTGTTACATTGACCGCCGCTTATAGAACGCATTGCACGTACTCCGCAAACTCATTCTGCAAGGTCTGAAGGATCTCATCGTCCGAGCGTCGTCATACTGGCTTTTCAATCCGCTTTTGCTCTAAATGTTGCTGGCTGGCTGACGTGGGCTCAGACATGTACAAGTTACTCAACAAAAGCAATTAAGTAAAGTTACTGAGTATTGGCCTCAAGAGTAATTTGAATAGAGTAGAAATTACTAAAATAGAAAGTAATTTGAGTAAATTACTAACAACGGTAAAAAAAGTAGCGAATTACCTCTGAAGTTCCTTTTATATATGTATATTTTTTTATGGTAACAAGAAAGTGCATAGCTATCCGTTAGCGAAATTCTGCTAGCCAAATAAAAAGCGGCTTGTGCTTTCACAGAAATGCTTTAATATAGCTGGCGCTGCTTTTGCGTGCGTAGTTGTTTTGTACTTCTTTCGTTTTTTCGTCAATGATGTACTGCGGATGTATCGTTTCTAGTTTGAAGTTAGCACTGCCTGAGCTTGATTTTGCAGACAGTGTTTGCGTGTTTACAGTGTTGCGTAAAGTACATCTAAAAAGTACTTGAAGTAAAGTACAAAGTAAATAAGAGGTTATGTACTTCAAGTAAAGTAGTAAGTACACCAACTGCAATGTAAAGTGAAGTACTATAAATACAATATACTTTCAAAGTAAATTAGAAGTGCTTTTCAACACAATCTTTTATGATGCCCTTTCATCACCTTCAGGTTTTTATTTTTTTAAATCTGGAATGCATCGTTTTAGGGTAATCGCAGGCGAATCATTTTTTTTTTTTTTGGAAATGGCGGCAAATGTTGGATAAAGTCAAGCCGCCACAGAGCAGTTGTTTTACTCGCGCTGACAAACTATTTAACACAGTCAACTTATAAGGCACTTATTTGTATCGGTCTTATAGCCGCCATTACTTCACTCAGAGAAATGACAGATGACGTCTCGAAAGACGATAGCGCGTTTTCACATGACGATACGCCATTTTTTGTTTTCAAATTTGGGTAATATACTTTGAAGTAGGGAGTTATACTTTCCTCGGAAAGTGCCAGAAAAAACTAATTTACAAAAGTGCAACTGCATGCTCAGAGAATGTACTTCAAGTAAAGTACAAGTGTTCTAAACGTACTTAAACTAGCACTTTAAGTACCAGGTAGTACTTCCCAACACTGCTCGTTCATTATTTTTAATGTAAAAACGCTGGGGGTATTACTAAAGTTTCTCGAAATATTTTCGAACCTTCGAAGACCTGTATATTCTAAGTTTTGGGAGGAAAGGCAATGCAAAGAGGTCACCTTTGCGTTGCCCTTTAGCACGCGATTCTTCAAGTTCAGCACAAACTACGGGAGCACTAGATGAGCTTCAGAGCGGGTGCTGCACTTTCTTGCCTCCTCTCAGTGAGGATGCATGTGTACACTTCCTGTAGTGGGCGAGAGTTCTTACGTTGTGGAGAAGCGGGGACAAGCCCTTTCTTCAAATGCGTCAATTCTCCTTGAGCTTCGAGACACAAACGCCAGCCTTCGGTGTTAATCCCGTAGTTACTCGGCATCACTTGCGACATGTATGTTCGCTCCCCGCGCCTCGTAGCAGGGTTGTTGCAGTGGGGGGCTTGTGAAAAGTTTAGGGGGTTTCGGACTCACCGAACTATCCCACCCCCAACTCCCCTGCCTATGCCACATGCTACCCCCCCCCCCCCCCCCCGCGCCCCTTTGGAAATATCAGCTGATCTTCGACATCTTATCTCTTTTTGTGCAGGAATGTTTGTTGAGAAGCAAACCTACCACTAAATTTTCTTAGTAATTTGTAATTTGAGCAGAAGTTACTCCGAAAAATTTATTAAAGTAAACTACTAAATAAAAAACTAAAAATGTAATTGAAAGTTACGAAACTACTCACAAAAGTAGTTAAACTACAATAACTTGAGTAGAGTAGTTGAACTACGTACAAGCTTCTGCTTGAGGGCGTTGCGCACCACTCGTGACTGCAAATCACTGGGCGCGTTTGATATAACGATGCCTTCTTCACCATAGAACAAAATGTCTTAAATTGTCTTATGCGATTTCCTATACTCTGTTTCACCTCAGGATGAACCGCAGCGGATGCTTTGAGCCACCAAAGATAATTGAATGTCGCGCGAGTGTCACGCGACTTTCGGGATGGGCGCAGCGACGCGCAGAGGGCATAGACTCGTGATTCGTTCACAGCACCGGACTGGCTGCAGAATGACCCGTAGTGTCCACTAGCGGTCCATCGTATGGCGAAACGGAGTATAGGAAATCAAATAAAACAATTTGAAACAAAGTATACCGCAGCGTACATCTTAAAGCACATACCAGAAGTACGCCTTCATACAAGCAAGTGTCACTTTTTTTTTTTTTTGCTGCTGCGACGTGGATTATTGCAGCTAAATGGAACGGGCCTTCTGCATCAAGTCTCTGTATCCGACGCAGTGTCACCTCCCTGTAGCAAATCACGAACCTCGTTCTCTCGTAGATCTCACAGCTGGTCCTGCTAGTCTGCGTCGTACTGGTTACGTCAACGGAGGGCGGCTTTTACGGAGAAGGGGAGAGGCACGTCTACGCCGGTGCTGAGGACTACCCTCCGGGCTTCGTGATCAGCACGCTGCGGAGCGAGGAAGACAAGCACGGCCACGAGCAGAGAGGCTACGGCCACGGTCACAGGGACTACGTGAACGAGCCGGAGTACGTGGTGCGGAGTCCGTACGGTGCTCTGCTCCAGCAAGCCGAGTCCCACTCCCAGTTTTACGGTGGGGGAGTTGGTCCAATCGGGCACGACCACGTCGGTTTCTACGGAACAGGTGTCAGAGAAGACTACTTGATGGCTCGCTGAGTTCGATCGGGATGTGATCATGCGCGCGAACGTGTGCGAGTGTGTTTGAGTGCGTGAGAGAGCTTTGAAGTTACAGGAGGTTTCTAGGTAAGCTCTCTGGTCTGGGTGTTGGTCTAAAATTCCTTTTCTTATATTTTTCTCTTTGATGTGGTTTTTTGATTTCCTATTGTAAACTAAAAACGCTATCTGGTTCTCTGATATGTTACGAACATAATTTTCAAATTATACGGCTAATGTTTCCCAAATGATGATATGGTATTTTCTGGCCACCAACGGTTTTTGTACTGGTTTTTCAATCCGCTTTTGCTCTATAGGTTCTTTCCACTACATGGACAAGGCGCGAGGCTGCATGCTGTCTGTCAATCTCATGAATTTAATATTGTAAAACAATACATTCTGACAGTTATCTTACTTTCTCTACGTAGGAAGTTTCATCTGAGGTATGCTTTTGGCCTCATAAGAAACGTCATAACAGTAACCCTGTCTTTCGCTAGTTTATATGTCTTGTTTAATACGTCGTGATAAAGATTTCTTTTGTTTATATTGATGACAGACAAGGGAAACAACGTATTGTTTATTCCTTTTGTTCCTTCTTGTTTCTGAAATCAAAAGAATAATCAATCCCATTAAATGTGTTGTACCATAGCAAAAATATACTGATTTGGAGACAACAATTGTAAGGTCAGTTCGCTAGTCATACGAATGAGGGGATCCTGAGAACTGTTGAATAAAACCGTCGGCGATAGGTAACCGCTTGCACGCTCTTGTAAGGTGCGTTGTCTCCTTATTTAATTCTGAGCTTTCTATCATAGGGTCATTGTGCTTGAGTGTCTTGTAAATTTGTTTTTAAGTTCAAATCCAAAGATGTGTAGGGAACTTTTCCACATCTAAAATTGGACACAAAGTACGTTTGGTTTTATATGTATTCCTTATACGACCTTTGAGTGATGTTGCTGGTTCTAACTAGCAATGAAAACAGCTCACTTGGAAACAATGTCTCTAACATTATGCAGCAATGTCACCAATTCCCATTAAAATAAACGACAAGATCATGTTTACTCTAATATCTAAGTCTTCGGCAACTGCGTGAACACATTTCAAATGAGGCGCGCATTGTAGTTTAGTGGTGTTTCATCTGAACCTTGCACTGTATATTTGAGCAATTCTTGTCTTGTCAAACAGGGTCTTAGTTATGGTATGTTGTCTTTATTGTTGAAACAAATTATTGCATGTGTTTGCTTTAGAAAACTCACGGTCAATTGAGGTCGAAAGATTTAGAAATCGAGTTGGACAACACGTTAGGAAATCATTGTTTTATGTTTCCGACCGCCGATTGAAGCCCTGTTTTGTGTTTGGGAGGACACGTTGCACGTCCTGCAAGTGGACGAATTAACTTAATTTTGTTGTTGATTCAAAAATAAATCTATCTTTTAAGGTTCGTGTGTTTCAAATGTATACGTACATTAAATCAATGAATCAATTTTATCCTAAATAAAAATCAACACAGAACACACTGCACAAACACATCTGGATCCGTAGGATTCTTGGCTAGCCTCGGATCCATTCCAAAAGTACAAAAATAATGCGGCGGTTACATGGACAGTCAACTGAATTTTACTAGACTATTAAACCACACGCGGCATGGCAAAGAAAAAGCATTCGGACAATATTTTTTAAAGGGCTGTGCACACTGGACAAAACTTTTATAATGCACAACAAAATCCCGACCGTGCCCCATAGCCAGCCGGAAACGGCCAGGCGGCGCCAGCAGGGAGAGAGCCCACGGTTATACTCTGTCTCGTTGTAACTTGGCAAAGGGTGAACGATAAGCCCCACATTGCGTGCCGAAGGCTTCGAAATGCGCCACGTATACGGGCGCAACGTACACATATTGGAGCATGACGCAGCGCAAAGCCTGACACTTCTTCGGAGTTCAGGCGCGCTCCGGTGATACGCAGTCACGTTCCGATTGGCTTGCCAGGGCCGTAGCTTCTGCTGTACTGGCACGTTGCGCCATCACGGCTTCCTGGGATATCCAGTATTTCTTGCTTCAGACACTATGCTAAGCGGCGCCACCAGAGTAAAAGCTCACGTTTGAACAATGCAACCGCCACTCCCAGAAGTACCCAATATTTCTTGCTTCAGTCGCTAGATGGCGCCAAACCAAACAGCATTGCAGGTTGCCTATAGGCGTGCACGTAAAGCGGATTCAACAAAAAGTGGATCCTTGGAAGAGCTTTGCATAAGTGCTTACGAAGCGCGGATGTGATTTTGTCGGGTACGACGAAAGTCGTGCTATAGATGTGGACAGCGCTTTAATCGTTGGTTTAGAACAAAAATTGCAGGTCCGCTTGAGTAGCCGTAAATGTTGTATGCAGCGATGAAAATAGTAAGGTATTCTCTTCAGAAACAAATAAAAAGAACGCACACACAAAGCAAATATGATGTTCAATGTTTGTGATGCGTGCTTGCAGCTCACATGTGCTTCCCTGCTTTTCTGCTAAAAGGGGTGTTTTTGCATCCGAGGTTTTTCGTGTTTTTTTTCTCACTTTTTACATTACTGATTGAAAATATCAAAGACACGGACCCAAGGGAATTCCCCTTACTCTGCAGGTAGAATATTTTTTTTATTCATGTAAAATGCGTCTAGATCTCTCTCAGATAGTATATTACATAAAATTTTATCGACACCTTGAATCCATTTGTCTAATTGCTTTGAAAAAATTATTATTAGCAAGGAAAACATCGCATTGATGTTAGAGAGCCACGCTTTGTTAAATATAGTACAGTCTTTAAAGCGTATCATGAAAAATAAACGTTGTATTAAACGCACTTGCAATTAAGCATAAATTGGTTGTACACAACAGTTTGTCAGTCTTTTATTGAGTAAATATTAGGTCATTGCTAATATCTTTTTAAACAATGTAGTTGCTGTTCCTTTAGTTGTTTATCTTGTTATGTTTTATTTAAGTTTCTTTTAAGACCATTGAACTTAGTTCGGAAATGCCCAAGAACATTATCGCAACAATGAAGGCAGGGAGGGGAAGAAAAAAAAAAAAGCTATCCGAAAGTTTAAAACATCAAACTTAATTCTCACATATTTTGTGAAGGTAATATTTCTGTCTAAGATGTTTACGTTCAAATCTTGTGAAGGTGGCCGCCATGGGATTGAGGCCTTATACTCTAGGGTATTTGTTTCTTTTTTAAGAACTGTTTTCTCGACGATAGAGGGCCAGCTCCCTCCAGCCGTCACAGTCGATTTGAGGAACTCAGAAAGCATTCGAAAGACGAGCTTCCGGGAAATTCCTTCAAGACGAATACAGAGTGCATTGTCACAAACAAATGTATCTTTGTCGGAGAAAAAAACGCCGCCTAATAAAGTGGAGGCAAAGTTGAGCGCAGCAATGGTAAAGCCTGGTGTCACAAAAATATATCATAAAAAATTAAAAAAAACGGTAGAGCGAGCCGTTAAGTGTGATTTTCTGCCGGAAAACATTTTGACACAATGGGATTTTTGTTTTACAACTATTCATTTGAAAGCAATGTCCACGAGTGTACTTAAGAGGATGCGTGGAGCAAATTACAGCACTATATCAGTAATCCATATTGAGAGCGTGAAGCGATCACCGAGGTATCCCAAAATGCAATCTGGGTTGGCACACGGAGCGTTTAAAACTACCTATTGTCGCGTAAGTGTGCCGAACAACAACAAAAAAAAAAAAAAACTTCCGTAAAAAAAAAGGAAAAAAAAAATCTTTCCGCGGCAGAGTTGACAGGCCACGCGGATTCCGCTCGGTCAATCGGGGTAATCAGGGTTCGAACCCCGCCAATCTAGTTTTCTTTGACCATTTCTTTTCACTTCTGCAAAGGCTCCCAGTTCAGTTCCGCCACTGATCGCGTATTCTGGTTTAGAGCGTTCCAGAACAGGGGCCGTGTATGGACGTTTTCTGTTTCCTGTCGTTATTAGTCACGTCGGTTCCGTATGTGGTATGCGCGACGAAAAAATAATGAAATATTTCAGCCTGGAATATGCGAGAAAATATAGGTTGGGTAAACCAAGAATGTATGACAATCACAAATGTTTCGTAAGCACTTTTCAGCGGCGTGGAGAGATCAAAACGATGTTTTACCGCATACCAGAAGTGACGACGTTCAAGATGGCTGCGCCCTTGTGGAAAAGGTGATGGTGTTTGCAAACAAAAAGCGTCTGTCTGGGCATACTGGGGTAGTAAATCAATTACAGTAATTGAAATACTGTAATTTACTTTTTTGGATATTTGTAATTGTAATTCATTACTTTCAGCTAGAATGAATTGTAATTCAATTACATTCTAGCGTTAGTAATTGCAAACTTTCCGCCACAATTACAACTACTTTTGCAAGACTGCGGGGCCGACGGAACCTCTCTGAAAGACTGAGCGCTTGCACAAGGGACCTAGCGCTCGGTGACATAGTCGCACATATTGACACGCACGCACAACAGAAATAGCATCGTGTTGATTGTTTTCTTGTTGCTTACACTGCGGGCTGAGAGGCAATTAATCCTCTTTGGAGCCTATCTCAACGGCGCCGTGTGGAGCTGTCTGCGGTGCGAGCAGAAAATAATAGCTTAAGCATGACAGAGTATTGGAAGAAACAAAATTGAGCTTCAGCCTTCAGCCGAGGTTGGGAATTTTAATTTTCTACGAAGTTATCTTTCGTTTCTTTTTTGCCAGCTGTTTACGTCCCTCTTCCAGTACTGTCACATATTTGTGTCTCAGTGTTATTTTCAAGTTCATTTTCTGTTTGTTTTACTTTGGATATTATTGGAAAAAGAATTTTGGAGACTGACCTCGCATTTGTAAATATTGTCACAATGATTCGGGAGCCCCGATTCGGTTCTTACGTATATCTGAACCATCATAATTTGAACTCAATGCAAATAATTTACAATACCATGATGTTTGTATGAGAATCTGGTCGTATTAGAGCGTGTTGTTTTAGCTTTATATTAGCACTAGTAAATATTCATATATGACTAATTGTGGCATTTTTATTTGCCCATGGCTTACAGAAGTCTGTCAAAATTTGTTGTTCTTTCGCGACCTTGCGACTTCCAGCATGTCCACTAATTTATTATTTTTTCAAGATATAAGAACGCAGTACTTCACTGCCCAAAACTGTCAAGTTCTATCATGAATTTAACAAAATTCATAAAAGGAATGTACAGCACGTGACATTTTTACAGCGATGACTAACCCTCCTCAGACATTCGGACAAGAAATGAACCAATAAATGCGTTGCATTCTAAACAACAGGTTTAAAGTTGTGTGGCCCAAGTCGGGTCGCTCTCAGAAATAAGCAATGGTAAAGTAATTGCATTACTTTTTAAAAAGTAATTTGTAATTGTAATGAATTACCTTTCGCGTGATAAAACTTGTGGTTAAACTACTTTCGGAGCAAAGTAATGGTCATTGTAATGGAATTACGTTTTGGAAGTAATTTTGCCATGTATGTGACTGGCCGTGCGCAGAACACCAGATTCGCGTCAAGCGAAGCGTACGCGCCTGCTCCGTGACAACACCTGCGCCACTTTTAGTTGCCTTTGTTTTGCCGTTAAGCTCCTTGCTGACAATGAGGTAAAACTATACATTTATTACAGAATGGAACTTTTCAGTATGGACACTCAATTTATTGCCTTAGCCACAACTCGGGCAATCGTTCACATACGAATACTCTCGAGGAAGAGTTTTATTGTGTATCGATTTAGGTTATCCAGAAAGAAATGGGGTCAGAAGACGACAGCGAGGATAATCGCTTTGAGCATGTTGCACCCCAGTATGATTGACGCTGCCATCTTCGTCTTCAAGGTAGTTTTCTTTATAGCATGTTTTTGTGAAACGTATCTCAGAGTGATAGTCGAAAATACCCTACCCTTTGGCGCGTTATGTCACACTGGGAATCGCGGCGACATTAAGATGTTTTCAGCTGAAGCCAAGCGTATAGTGTCGTCTACCCAAAATAACTGGAAGCTGCCAAGCGCGGCAGTGCGGTAGTTTGGCACTGTATATAAATATAGTTCGATACGAGGCTCCCGACGAGGACCAAGAAACAAAAGTATGCTGAGAGGAATGAATAAAAAAAATAAAGATAACAGCACGTTTTCAGTCATATCTTTTTTTTTTTTTTAATTTCACCAAAAACCTGCGTTTTTGGTGAAATACTTACTACAAAAATTACCGTAACTTTAAAAGCCCAATGATAATGTATCGGATGAATGAGGTCGCTAAATTGTCATTTTTCTAACTTATTGTTGGCCTTGTTTCGTTTTTTTTTTTTTTTTTAATCATTGTTCGTACTTCAAGGGTAACTCCCGCCCATACTTGCAAATTTGTGATTACAACTGTTTTCAACTCAGTGAGTGCCGCTGAACTACAAGGTATGATTTGTTTTATC